ACTCTAAAGATCTACAGTTCGAACCCCTGCTATCTACGGACCTATGACCGACCTACCAACTGTCTACGAACACACAGGTCACAGGTTCAACTCTTGGGGTTTACACCGATACTGTACATGGGTAGGACGAGGTCTAGGGATCGAACCCTGGGTACTGCATCTGCTACTGCTAAAAGGTGAAAACCGTTTCATCTTCCCCTTACTCAACAATGTTTTGATGGAATTGAGCTGGTATGGCCGTGACACAGGGTAACCCCTCCAATAGTGACTTTAGTGAACCGATCATGATGAATAAGGGTATAGGGAGGACCGGTAGTCCGCCCCAGTCGCCCCCTGGATGCAGAACCCGCCTCCCCGCTCCCTTGTGCATCAGGCCGGTCCACTGATGACACGACCGGAGTTTGGTACCCTAGTATGTAAAGGAGATGGTAGTGGTCAGGTGCATACTCAGGGGATCGCAAACAATGGAAGGAGGGAGGAACTAGCTTTTCAGCAGTAGAAATCTGGCGCCTGAGGCTAAGGCGAAGAGGTTTTTTTCCCCTTCCTCAACAACCTGCTCAGTTAATCCTCTGGTTTCCAGAGCAATCAATGCTTGCAGGTTTCATGGTCAACCAACTTCTGCAAAGCATTCTGTTAAGGGACGCTGGACCCGTTTTCCAGCAGGTGATGCTCCCCACCAATAGATGGAGCCTCCCCCCGGGTGCTAGTGGTTTCTGGCCCCGCCAGTACCACTAGCACCGCAGGGGTGTGTGTGTTTGACTGTGTGGGACCTGGGGACAAAGATGAGGACACACTGACAAGCAGACTTTTCTGGGAATCCTGGCTGCTGTCGCTCAAATGACATAACCCTTGCATTCCACCTGTTACTGTTCTACTTACTCCGCTCCATACCACTGCATGTCCACCATAGCTAGTTGATGGGGTGGAAAGGGATCGGGAAAGTCCGAGGGTGGCCATAGCGGGATGTCTTGACCCACAGTTGTCCGGTCTTTGAAGTAGATTTGATAGTCCCTCTTGATCATCTCCCCGTTGCCATCCTGTGCGCCTTTGTCGCCTTCCTGGGCACGTCTGCCATCTCACTTGATGGAGGCAATTCGGCCGCCATCCTCGCCACCCAGCCAGTCCCCTGAGATGTTGGATTATTTGTTTTATATCTTTCTGGGTTTGAAACAGATCCAACCGATTTTCGACTTTCTGCCATTGCACCATAAGTTTTTGGTGTATATATTGTTTAATCCAGTGCTGAAAATCCGGTAGGACCGGGGGGCCCTCCCGCAACCGGAACCGGACCGGTCGACCGGGCCGGTTCCCCCCCGGTTGGCTGT